AATGGAGTACTATTCAGCCATAAACAAGATAAATTAGAGGCTTTTTTAGGTAAATGGATACAGCTAGAGACCGTACTCATAAGTGAAATAAATCAGACCCGCATGTATAAACATCATATTGTCTCCCTAGTGTGAGAACCTGAAGGAGTAAATAAAATCCAAAAGGTGCAATAGATATTGTGAAATGGAAAGAAACTGCTTAAAGGGAAGGAACAACTAGGATGAGAGAAAGAAGAAAAGAAATAAAGGAAGGGAAAAATATATATGTATATACAAGAATAGCTGGGATAATTGTACTGTTGATTTCTGTTGCTTTATTGAAAGGAACTGTTAATGCTTAAATGTTTCTTTCCTTTTTAATTTTTTGACCAATTTTGCATTCTTATATCTTGTAATATGAACAATTTGAAGACAACAATATGCAATATAACAACCATTGTTGAATTCCTATCCTCTTAAGTGAAATTCTGTATCATTTCTACTGTCTTTTTCTTTCTTTTTGAGGCAGGGTCTCACTATGCAATTCAGGCTGGCCTTGAACTCACTTTGTGGCTCAGGCTGGCCTCGAACTCATAGTGATCCTCCTGCCTCAGCCTCCCAATTGCTAGGGTTATAGTCATGTGCCACCGTGCCTGGTTATCTCTACTTTTTTTTTATTCTCCTTAAAAAATAAAAAAGAAATTAAAAAGCTCAGAGTTGACTGTACTCTGTACTTCCTGTAGTAATCTAATGGATTAGTCTATAGTAACTCTGTACTAATCTAATGGAGTAGTCTATAATTGGTTACATACACAGGTTAGTTTATACTTGGCTACATACATTTAGTCATAGTTGTCAGGCAGATGTGTCCAGGGCAGGTTGAATTAGAGGGAGCCATTCGTCATGGAGCAGGAAGGTTTGGGTGAGGGGTCAGGGTTCCAGGCAAGCAGATAAAATTTAGTATGACCTTGACAGGGCTAGCTTGCCCCTTGAAGCAGAGTAGCAAAATAATATTTGTGTAGGCTATTGTGCAGCCGGCCAGCTAGAGCTGAGTCCATTATCTCTGAGTTGCAGCTGGGCAGTTAAGGCCAGCTGAGTCTGACAGCCCATTATGTAGCTATAGTTCTCAAAATTTTCTATTACATTTTATTCTCCATTACACTACCAATTGTTTTCAAACCATAACCAGGACAAAGATTCACTATGTATTCATTTTCACTTAAAATGATTTTATGACAAAAGTAGAAATGTATTTTAAATAAAAAAACTTCCACATTCCAACTAAAGAAAAAAAGAAGCATAGTTAATAGTTTGGAAAAGGAGCAGAAAACAGTCATGCTAGCAACAATTTTATCTTTTCCATTGCTTTATTCTTAAATCTCCTGGGAGGTTTCAGCAAGTAAGTAAAGTGCACTGAACAAATGTTTGCTGGATAGCACCTGCCTGTAATCAGCCAGTCCTACTGTTGGTAACACTCACTGCACAGCTGTGGTCATGCAGCTCTGAACAGTTAGAAGGTGAAGGCTAGTGGTCACAGCTTCGAGGGTTCCCAGCTCTGCAATCCGGCTGCCATCCTGGTTTTGACCATTTTCTCAGCTTCCCCTAACTCCTGTGCTTCAAAATTCGTATTCACTGGGGGAATTCCTCCACACCCTCTGACAAAGTCTAGAAGACCTGAGTTAGTTTTCAGCTGGGTTTTTTGGTCTTTAGTGTGTGGACAGATTTCCGGCACTCTCTTGTATATGATTCTTTGAGTGACTATTACAAATAATCTTGTAAAATATATGTCCTGTTATATATTGTTCTTGCAAAACCCCAAACCATGACAATTAGTATTTCTTGCATTGCAGGATCCCAGAAAGCAGGACACAGCTGCATTCTTTTCCACCATTCGTTTTTTGAGACAGGGTCTCACTATATAGCACAGGCTGGCCTTGAACTCACTATGTAGTCCAGGCTGGCCTCAAAGCCACTGTGATCCTCCTGCCTCAGCCTTCTGAGTTCTGGGATTAAGGTGTGCACCATCACGCCCAGCTTCCCTCCTTTTTTTTTAACCCTCCACAGTGTTTTTGCAGAGGCTGAAAAGGATTCAGAATATCTATTGGCATTTTATTGAACATTTTCAACATTTTCTCCCCGTCACATCTATCTAGACACAGCCGCAACAATAAAATAACAACATGATACAGCAAAGTTAGTGGATGTTTGTTATGAAAGCAGAGAAAACAAATCAGGTTAACACCCTATTAATCTCACCCAGATGAATCATGGGCTGTACTATTATGAACAACAGTGAAGTCTAACTGTGAGCACTGCTTTCCAAAACATTCCTTCATGTATCCTCATCTCTGTGCAGCTGTTCTGTTATCCCCAGTTCCCATGTGAAGAAAATGAAACTGGAGGAGAGTAAATAATTTCTCCCAAAGTCACGCCAGAGAAAGAAGCTCTGAGACTCTAATTTTGCCTTCTCTAACTTCAGCCCCTCCCATTCTTTCAGAAGTGGGAGCACAGAACAGTTTTCACCTTCTAGGACTCGATTCAAAAAACAGCACCAAAGGTTTAGCACTGATTTGGTTCAATTACCAAACTTTCCCCACATCAGTAGCAGTAGTCATTTCTTAGATCCCTACAAGTTCCTTAGCTGCCTTCAGAATCATCAAGGAAAACTAACAGGTCTTCTAGACTTTTAATACAAAGTATATTTGATTGCTTTCCAATTTCTTGAAATTTGCTGATCTCAGTAGGGTAAATTTATTGGGCTAATACAGTACCACTTGTAGGTTGACGGACTGTGTTTTCTTGAATTATTTTTTTTTGTTTGTTTTTTGTTTTTGTTTTTTTCCAGTACCAAGAATCGAACTCATGACCTTGCACTTGCCAGGCAGGCCCTGTGCTGCTGAGCTAAATCCCCAGCCCCTTGAATATTATTATCTTACAATTCTGCCTACTACATTATAAAACTAATCAAAATACAGTCTGCCCACCCCTAAAACACAGATTTAAGCAACTACTGATGGGAATTACTTTTTAAAAATTTTATGGTATGAATAGGTACATTTTTCTTGACTTTATTCGGTAAGCGATATAGCATAACAACTTTACATGGCATTTACACAACGTTGACCTTATATTAGGTAAAGTCGTCCAGAGATGACCTTAAACATACAGAGTATACATAAACACTACATCAGTTTAAATAAAGGACTTGCCCATCTATAGATTTTGGTGTGGGGGTGGAGAAAGGTGTCCCAAAACTAATTCCCCGCAGATATGAAGGGAAGCTTGCACTTTTTCTCATATATTTGATATAAACGATTTATGGTATCAGCACCTTAACTAAAATAAAATGATCTTTTTAGACCTTACAAGAGAATGTGCAAGTAATATATCTCTTGCCAGTTCTTCAGGTTAGGATACAAAACACCTATTAAAGTACTGTGCTTTAGAAGTTTTTACCTCCGGGCGTGATGGCGCTCGCCTGTAATCCCAGTACTGGGTAGGCTAAGGCAGGAGGATCACTGTGAGTTCGAGGCGAGCCTGGGCTAGAAAGTGAGCTCAAGGCCAGTCTGAACTGCATAGAGAGATCCTGTTTCAAAAAGACCAAAAAAAAAAAAAAAAGTTTTTTTTGGGGGGGGGGCTGGGGATTTAGCTCAGCGGCAAAGCGCCTGCCTGGCAAGCGCAAGGTCGTGAGTTCAGTTCCCGGTACCGGAGAAAAACCAATAAATAAATAAATAAATAAAATAAAATAAAATAAAATAAAAAGTTTTTGCCAAATACTGGATTAAAACCAGGAAAGCTTTTTGGGGAGTGAAAGCCACGTTTCTCACCAGAAAATACTTGGGTGCAAAACATATTGGTTTCAGGCAGTCAGTTATATACTTTAAAATGTCAACAACACGCTCAGCGAGAGGGCTGGAGTCGGCCGGAGTCATTCTGTTAGGGTGTCACAGCACACACACAAGAGCACAGAGATGGAAATCACAGAAGAGCGAACAGAACAAACCAGCCCTTCCGCTGCACACGTTCTCCAGTCCCCTTCTGCCAATGTGGTTTCGCGCAGTGACTCACGGTGACAGGCGGAGGACCGAGCACTGCGCTCACACACACCGAGGTCAGTAATACTTATTTTCAACACCAGCTCATCCTGCGGTGACCCTGTGCTTGTCTTTCTTTCCATTCCACATAGATTGGCATCGAACAGCTGCAGATTTTTTCTCTCTCTCTAAGGCACAGAACGCGCTCCTAGGTTCTACGCTCAAAAAAGAAGATTTAAAAAGGGACAGTTTGTTGCCAGGGAAGGCACCGCCACCTCCCTTCAGACAGGCGATTTCCGCTGGTTGCGGTTTTTTTTTTTTTGCGGTCTTGGGTTGCTGTCTTTAATTTCATCTGTATTCTGCCTTTGGTCTCTAGCGCTGTTGCGGCCCCTCTTTTCCTGTAACCAATCTCTTCGAGCCAATCGAGAAGCAAAAAGCAGCAAACACGCCCTCCCGCTCCGGATTCCCTTCGGTCGCTGCCCGCCAACCGCAGAGCCGCTCGAGCGAGGGCCGCTGTCTGCGCTCGCTCCCCGCTCGCTTGCCGCCGCCGCCGCCGCGGGATCCGGGAGGTGAAGCAGGCCGCGCGCAGACATGGACGTGACGGTCGCCCCGCTCCGCGCCTGGGACGACTTCTTCCCGGGCTCCGACCGCTTCGCCCGGCCGGACTTCAGGGACATTTCCAAATGGAACAACCGCGTCGTGAGCAATCTGCTCTATTACCAGACCAACTACCTGGTGGTGGCTGCCATGATGGTCTCCGTGGTGGGGTGAGCGCCGCGATCCGGGCGCGGGGCCGGGATCGGGGCGCGGGGCCGGGATCGGGGCGCGGGGCCGGGGTGCGGGGCACATGGGTCCCGCGCGCCCGCCCTGGCAACTCCTCCGCGGCCCGCCGGCGGCAGCTTGTCCTGAGCCGAGGCCACAGCATGGGGTCCCCTTCCCTTCCCTTCCCCAGCGGGGCCCAGAGGCCGAGGGGGCCCCGCAAGAAGCGGGTGGGGGAAGTCTTGCCACCTCGGATAAGAAAAATTACCCCCCCCCCGGCTTCCGGGATAAGGCTGGCAGCGCCTCAGTCTTTTAAAAATAGGAGGGAAGCAGGCTAACCTTGTCCTGGAGCTGCTGGGTGCCGCCCTTTCAAGCCTGGGGAGGCTGGGTGTGGACGCAGGGGGGTCCTAAAAGGACATCTGGGCGCCTTATCCTCCTAAAGCCTGCCCTACTGTACGAGAAAGCTCCCCTTGGAAGCCAGAGGGTGGGTGTCTGTCTCCTGGTGGCGCATCTCCCAGTGTGGGGTGACTCGAGAACGGGCCCGCTGGCATTTTCTTCTAGGAGTTGCCAGCTAAGGCCACTCTATCTTCACTCCCTGCCCTGGAGTCTTAGGGTACTGAACGCCTTTTCATTACTTGATATTTGAAAAGCACCCTCTGTGAACCAAGATCGCACAGTCATGCGAACATTGTGTGTGCGCGCGCGCTCCCCTATGCCTGCTGCCCTGTGGAAATTGCCTTTTTTCGGTAGCTCACCCTTCTCCCACCTTGGCAAGCTGGGTGGCAATCTTCTCCATCTTGCTGATTACCTTCTACCTATCTTTAAAGAAAAACTACCCCCAGACCTTATGAAGGACTCACTTCCCCTTGAAGCATCTGACACTTCTATTTGAGAGCGGAGGGAAAGAGGAAGCTGGCTGAGGAGCACAAGCAGACAAAGTTGGAGGTTGTGTGAAAGGGTGAATGGGGTGGTGTCTGAGGTTGGCATGCTGTCAGTTGGCTCACTTATTGGGCCACCTCTCTGCGCCAGGCTCAGAGCGCACCAAGATGAATCAGACTTGAATTCTGGCCCAGGGACGTATGGCATTCGCTGAGAAGCTAAAGGAGCAAATACTTAGCACCGAAGACAGGAGAGAACTCACATTTTCCGGGTGTGGTTCAGAATGGGCGTCCCTTACCGAGGCGGAAGCCCGCGCCTGACTTCTAGACAGTCGGAGGGCTCCTTTGTGCTTTGCCGAAGGATTGTGAGCTCTGGGAAACGCCTTAGTGTCCGGAGGGCACGGGCTCCCCAGGACTGTGACTAGGGTGACAGCCAAGGTACAATTAGGGCAGGGCAGGCCTGAGGCCTGAAGCAGCTGACTTTGAACCTTTAGCCAGTTCTATGCCTCTTTTCAAGAACACAAGGAAATTTCTTTACCACAATATAAGCAGTAAATAGATTTGCATGCTTTGCTTTACTTTCTTTTTCTTTACTTTGTAATGAAGCAGGAGGGCATCCTATCTGTTGATCTCTTTATAGGGGTATTTTTCTTGAGAGAATGCCAAAACTTAGATACAGAGCCAGGTTTAACACAGATCAATCAAATGTACAGAAAAAAAAAAAATTATTTTTTTCCCAGGGAGCTATGCTGCCCAGGCAAGACACAAGCTCAGGAGCCTGGTTACCTTGATACAATCCATTTTTTACCAGGAAAACTAGGGCCAGGCCCTTAACAAAATGTAACTCCTTTTCTGTAGTATGGTTTTTTTTTGGTTTTTCTCCGGTACCGGGAACGAACTCACGACCTTGCGCTTGCCAGGCAGGCGCTTTTGCCGCTGAGCTAAATCCCCAGCACCTTCTGTAGTATGTTAAGACACTGACACAGACACTTAAGGAATGTGATTCCCTTTCAAATAGGAGATACTGATTGTCAGAGACATTGCTGAAGGAGAAAGTAGAAAGTATTCATGGAGGTTTTATATTGTTAGGCCAGTGGTAAGTTGTTTTGAAAATTCCATGTGCATAAAGTATGAAATTTCCTTCATACTCCAAGTGAAAGCTTGGTATATAACCTACCATTTTGTATGCATCTATAAACGTACAGTCATTTTTCCCACAAATTATTGCTTTTTTAAATAATAAAAATAAACGTTTATTGAGCACTTTATATACTTTGCTATTTTACTATATTGTCATACAGCCCAGTAAGTAAACTATTGTTATTATTTAAACCCCAAGCTCAGAGAAGTTAAATGACTTACTGAAAGCCACCAAACCAGGCTTGTGCTCTTAGCTACAATGACATTGACATCTGCCTAGGAGTCATGAGATTTGGAATTACAGTCCCTGTAAACTGGAAGAAACCAAATACCTTCAGGGCCAGGGAGCTCAGCTGATTCTGGGACATTCTCATTCTAAAGAGGACTATCTTCTTGGTGATACAATGGATGTGTGGGTCAGAGCTCTGCTGGAGGCTGTTTGTCTGTTTCTCCAGATTGTGAAAATGGTGCCTGATGTTACCTCAGGTAAAGGCTTTGTTCAAAGGGCTCTCCCTCTGTTTGTAAGGAGGCACTTCAGGACAGTTCCTTCTAGCAAAGCTGGAAGGCTTTGAAGGCCTTTGGAGAGCTCTAGTTTTGCTCTCAATCTGGTGTTGAAACCTAAGGTCCTTAAGGATAGAAAGGGCTGGTCCTTCAAGACTGCCCTTTTGAAAAGAGAGGGCAGACCGTGGCAGATGGGCTCCAGACCCAGAAACACTGAAAAGGCGTGCATGCCCCAAGCAGAGCCTAAGAAGGGTTAGGCTAGAGATCATCTGTGTATGAGGAGCTGAGCAGGCAGGGTTTTGGTAATCCATGGTTAGAAGTTTGCTCTTTACCTTCAAAACATGGTTTACCAGACACAGGCCTTCCCCTCGGTAGGTGGTCTATGCATCTGAGGTTAATTCTGGCTAAACCGGTTACCTCACAGCCCTTCTTGAAAGCAGTGTTCCTATCTTCTGACGCTGTAGTGTAAGGTAATGGTTAAAAGCCAGATTGAGCTGAATCCCAACCACCAGTCTCTGGCTGTGTGACCCTGTGCAAGTCACTTAAACCATACCTTACCCCAGCTTTCTTATCTGCACAATGAGGCTAATAATAGTACCCAGCCCACAGGCCTTCTGGAGGATTAACTGAGTTCAGAGCAGCGCCAACCTCCTGGTTTTTGCTCCACAAAATGTTGCTTGCTATTTTTGTCTCTATTCCTGTTATCGAAGATACAGCTAAGCATAGATAGCATCTCTACATCAGGCAGCTTCATCTACCCAAAGCCCATTCCCCACATTCTTTACCTGCTCCGGCAAGACTCTGCCTACATACCACTTCTTTGTGGAAACCTTCTTTCTCCCTCGCTCCCTGTGTTAATTGGGCCCCATATCTGTGCTTATAGCTTTCCTGTTACCCTGTAAGCTTTTAAATTATTCACTTAACTTCACTCTGTACTGCAGACTTCCAGAAGTCACAGTCACAGTCAGTAGGTTGATTATTCTTTTCTTGTCTCGGTTTTGTCTTTTTTTTTTTTTAATCTTTTGAGACAGGGTCTCGCTGTGCAGTTCAGGCTGGCCTGGAGCTCACTTTGTAGCCCGGGCTGGTCTCAAACTCACAGTGATCCTCCTGCCTCAGCCTCCCGAATGCTGGGATTACAGGCGTGCGCCACCATGCCCGGCCCAGTTTTGTAAGCTTTGTTTCTATTCTCTGTCTCCCTGAGACCTGCTATAGAGCAGAGTGATGAGAGCAAAGAATTTAAGTGAATGTAGGATTTCGGCACAGTCATAGAGGCACCTTTCAGTCTACTAAATGGAACAAATTACTTTTTTGAAGTCTGTAGGAACATGAAAACACATGGTATGCTGGGCATGGTGGTGCACACCTGTAATTCCAGCACTTGGGAGGCTGAGGCAGGAGGATCCTTGCAAGCTCAAGACCAGCCTGGGCTACAAAGTGAGCTCAAGGCCATCCTGAACTGCATAGCGAGACCCTGTAGCCTTGTAAAATCTTGGTGCAGTGCTCTGAGCATTCTCAGCCTCAGCATTATTGACATTTTGAGCCTTATGGTTCTTTGTCTTGAGGGTGTTTGGATACCTACCTTCATCCTGGCCCTTTATCCACGTGATGCTAATAGCACACACACCCTCCAGGCTTGACCTTTAGAAATGTCTCCTGTAGACACGTGATGGTGATAACAGCTACCCTACTACCCCAGACATTCAGGATGACTGCTCTATATGCCCACTCATTAAATGCAAGGTCCTACTTGTAATCTTATTGGTTGACCATAGTTTTGTCCCACCTCACCCCCATCCTATGATTTTCCATTGGGTCGATATTACCTAAGTGACTACACTTATAATCTTATTGATTGGTTATAGTTCTGTCCCACTTTAAGCCCTCCTTACCTTGTGGCTTTGCTCAATAAAACACCTTTGAGAAGCAGGGTTGGTGGGCAACCCACTTTCCGGGCCCCCTTCTGTCCCTCTCAGAGAGCTTTTTTCCTCTCAGTAAATTCTTCCTACTCTTTTGTTTTGTTTTGTTTTGTTTTTGTCTTTTTGAGACAGGGTCTTGCTGTGCAGTTCAGGTTAGCTTTGAACTCACTTTGTAGCCCAGGCTGGTCTCAATTCACAGAGATCCTCCTGCCTCAGCCTCCCGAGGGCTGGGATTACAGGCATGCACCACCACGCCCGGCCAAATTCTTCCTGCTCTTAAAAAAAAAATGGAAAGTTCTTCCTAACAAGCTACAGAAGAGAGTTTATGGCAATTACCTAGCAAAACAACTCCCAGTTCCTGATCTTTTTTTTTCTTTTTTCTGTCTTTTTGAGACAGTTCAGCTCTTGAGCTCACTTTGTAGCCCAGGCTGGCCTCCAACGCACAATGATCCTCCTGCCTCAGACTCCAGCGTACTGGGATTACAGGTGTGCACCACCACGCCCGGCTCTGGTTCCTGATCTTTCATACATGAGAGTGGATTTGAAACTTCACACATCTTTGATTATTATTCT